TTTAAATAGATCGATTTTAATAGATCTACAATTTAAACAGGACCAACGCAACCCCTTACAGTCGAGAATAGAATCTAAGATTCTACCAGTCAGTCCAGCGCATTTAATATGGGCAAGCCCATCACAAAGCCAGCATGAAACGTAGCGATCTGACTCGCCTTTAATGTTACAATTGGGGAAGTTACAAGTCATAATAAATAACAAGAATAAAGATCAAATAAGAGAGTAAGTAGAACAAAATTTAATAGATATATAATAAATTAGTGTGTTAACAAAATATTAATAATAATAAATTCAATTAAAAATAAACGCAAAAATAATAGCAATTTTTTTTTTTTTTTTTTTATCAAAGTTTAAAACCAGTTTGACAGACACAAGCAATATAGCGAGCAGTTTTAGAAGCGCTGTAACAAATAAAAAGCTAAACGCAACACAGCTGTGAATAACACAGTAGAATGAAATAAAACAAAATGAAACAAAAAGCTGACTCGGCACCAAAAATTCGTAAGTTTAAACTTTTTAATGCTGCACAAAACTGAAGAACATTTAATACTTATCTTGCAGCTCCGAGTTAAAATCACTAAATATTGAACAAAATCACTAAAAAATCAATTAAAGTTTAAGAAATTTTGCAAAATTACACACAATAGTTCAGAGCAAAAAAAGTATGGTTAAATTAAAAATTTTAAGACATTTTGAACTTTTTTCTTCTTTCCGTTGCAGTCCGGTAGTTATTCATGTCTTTACAAAATTTAAAAAAAAAAAACAAATTTAGCTGATTTGTCTGGTTCTTCAAAATTTCGTTAAAGCTCATGACTTGTATCGAAAGGGAAAATCACTCGTTCTCAGGAAAAACTTTTCCTGAGCCCTGGTATTTGAGAAATACATCCAGTGAAATATCGAACAGTGGTTAAAGCTTAAGTTTCAAAATTTCTATTACTTGGCCGAAGCTGAGCGTTATTATGGTTCCATACTGGATTCTGTTGAAGATCTCGTTTTGCTAAATTTGTTTGTCCACCAATAAATTAACGATAATGCGATATATACAGCAGCAGTGTCAGGCGTATACCAACACGCCCCAACCAGCAAGTCAATTTTACTTGAAGTCTTTTTTAGATATGTGTCGCGCAAAATAGGTTGGCGCTCCGTAGCAGTATCATTATCGATATATTCATCGAAATTTTCTCGCTTGTTAATGCAGATCAATATTTCTGAAAATAATGTCATAACAGTTGAGAAGCTCGTCCTATTTTAAATAAAAACTAATTTTTGGAGAAAGTTTGATTTTATTAGTCTACATACAGTGAACCAAAAAAACTCGAGCAGGGAGATGGTTTGACTTTGAAGTGACTTAACTATTAAATTTTTTGAGTTGCATCCAAAACTGAAAAAAAAACGTTTTATAAGTTTTCATAATGTAATTGAAATCTATTTTTGAAAATCCTGTTTTCTTCAAAAACTTTAAAAATCCAAAATAACTACAAAAAAATAACTCTAAAAAAAATTTTACAGTTTGCGCAAATTGACATTTTAACAGTTTGGACAATTGATAATTTGTTTGTATACCTTTGCCCTCTATCATGGTTTGTAGTCTTTAATTAATAGAGTTCTCCAAATTTTGTGTAAGTTCACGAGAGATATGACCATATTTCCTGAAGAGCATCCTTAACCACATTTTTGCTTTTAATTTGTCTCCATATAAGGCCACTTTTTCATGTTGTACAGCAGTTATTCTTTAAACTATAAAGCAGAATGCTTCAGGTCGTTATCCTGAACAAAGCAGTAATTACCATTGAAATTGATTTTAGATGCTGACGGAGACAAGTAATTTTATAACAATGCCAAGTAGTCAAGTTATCTACGCCGTTTTCTACCATTGCACCCCATATGCTCTTATTGCACCATACACTATAATGCAGCCTGTACCATGCTTAAATTTAAAATTTTTATTTATCAGCGCTTAACCTTCCTTACGTCATACAAAGCGACAACCATCAGATTCAAATAAATTAAATTTGGACTTATATGTAAAACTCTTTGGAATATAGTCAACGTTTCGCAATATTTCTCTTCGATAAGTGTAGATTCGTTATTTTTACGCTCTAAAATTATCTGAAAACAAGAAGTTTTGAACTGTTTGAGGGTGGACTTTTGCAATGCCAGCTTCCTCCAACTGCTTGGCGAAGCTATTTTTTGAACCATTCTCTACCATAAAGTCTTCCAAAATCAATAGTCCTTTTGAATTTAACAATAATGTGCCGAAAAGTAATATGTGTTTTTTGACAATATTGCATATTTCGCGAATACTTTTGTTCTCTTGACAATATATGACTACCAAAGCCTGTTAATCTTGAGATGATTGTTTTACCACTGCCACAAAAAAGAAATTCGCTTACCAAACAATATATTATATTTTAACCAAACTCAAATAATACCAAAAAAAAAATAACGGTACATACAAGATAACTGCAATCGAGGAACAGAATATTCTCATATTGTTACTCTTGGTTGCAGCTTAAAATCTGACCTTTCAAAGTGAAAAAATATGTCTGTAAAAATTTTTTTTGGTTCACTGTAGGTGAAAGTTTTGTAGTATAACTTATCTTTTGTTTGAAATAAGCCTCAGTTCAGAGCTTTCTTTTCAGTACCCATTTCTTGAATCATCTGTTGCGGAGAATATTTGGTTGCGGGAGCAATTTGAAGCCCAATTCATACAATTCTGACACCCTCCTCATTGATTTCTTTTTTCTTCTACTTAATGGGTTTCATTGTATATAATATTATATAATAAATAACGAATAACTTGTAGTATAAACAGTGTTAGTAAAAGTTCCGTTAAAGACATTTTTATTTTAGGGATTATGTGTGTGTACATACATATATTTTAAGATTGTGTGTTTATCTCAGATGGTCAACAGCAGCTATAATAATCAAACCGTTTTGTAGATAATCACGTCCAAAACGAAAAAAAACCATTTCATTTACGCTACCTGCTATTATTACTTTATAACGCTTTTCTTAGTTTCATCTGGATGTTTGTATGTACTTTAATATAATATATTTGTATGCTACTTTTAATACTAGTATAATGAGTTGATGTGAAAACGTCCAGCACAGGATCGCAATTCAGTATTTTAGGGGTATAAGGTTTGGATTAAAGTCTATACCAATTTCATTCATATTCCCGCCCAATTTTTAAGAACACATGTTCATTACATTTTTTTAGAGTATCACATTTTCTCAGTTGGAAAGTTGGAGATTATTATACAGGCTATATTGAGGACAGAGAAGCGGATTGGCTGATTGAGTAAATTTTGACCTTGCTGAGTTATACTTGAGATACAAGCATTTTTATAAAAATTTAACTGCCACATTGCACGACATGTTCGGCATAAGGTTTGTTAGAATAACGAAAATCAATATATGTAGTAGCTGGGAGTTGGGGTAATTCGTCGACTAAACTCGCATATGTATTTTCGGCATTAAACTAAAGTATATCAAGTTTATAGTTAAACTATAGTATATCCAATGAGATGGTAAACCTCAAATGCCCTATTTATGCAAAGTTTTGTCCCGATATATTCTTTTGTGCTTCATTTGTAAACTGGAAAGTATTATAAATAAAGCAATTCCTAGTTTTAATTAATTGCTAATGCCATAGGCATCTTAGATGAACGAATACTTCATATTTTACTTGGAGTACTACATATAAAAAAGATGTCTGAAAAGTTAGTGCCGTACACGTTAACAATTCAACAAAAACTTGATTGAAAACAAATTTCTCAGCATAATTTGGAGCGTTTTAAGCAGAAAAAAAACGATTTATTGCGTCGCTTTATAACTATGGATGAGACTTGGATCTACCACCATGATCCTAAAGTGGAACAAGAACATTTGCAGTGGACTGAAGCTGGTTGTTCAGCTCGAATGCAGGTGAAGTCACAACGTTCAGCAAAGAAGGTTATGGCATCAGTTTTTGGATCAGTTGGATGAAAAAATTTCTGAGAAAAGACCTGGTTTGCAGCACAAAAAAATTATTTTTCATCAAGACAACCTGCTTACAAAGGTTTTTAACAATGACAAAATCCAACGAATTGAAGTACGAATTGCTTGAGCATCCACCGTATTCACTAGATTTGCTCCCAGCGTTTACGACCTCTTCAGAAACCTGAAACAATTCCTTCGTGGAAAGCGTTTATCGTCGAATGAAGAAGCTATTACAGCCGTAGAAGGGTATTTTGCACAGTTTCCGAAAAGTCATAGGAATGACATACAATTATTGGAGGATAATTGGATTAAGTGTATTGAAGTTAAGGGAGATTAAATTGCAAAAAAAAAACAAATTTCGTAACAACACAGTATTTTTTCATTTCGAGCACAGAAACTTATGAACCAATCGGTAGTTTTATTCACCTAACGGTTGTTTGTGTCACCTAAAACGAATCGAGATAGATATAGGGTTATGTTTTTATATAAATGTTCAGGATGAAGATACGAGTTGAAATCCGGTGTCTGTCTGTCCGTATGTCCGACTATACAAGATGTAACGTGAGTAAAAATTGAAATACTTTAATGAAACTTGGTTTACATGTTTCTTGGTACCGTAAGAAGGTTAGTATTGTAGATGGTCATAATCACGCCATTGGCACACCTACAAAACGCCATTAATCGAAAAGGTATAAAGTACCATAACTAAGACGTAAATTAAGATACAGAACGGAAATTTGGCACAATTTTGGACATATTGGTTCAATCATGGTTCGGTAACGGTTTTATTAGGAACTAAGTGCGATATATGTATGTGTATATTTTAATTGTTTACAAACATAAGCGTAAACTTTTTCATATACATACATATACATATACACATATGTTAGGCTTTGCTGCATGCAATTGAGAGTGAAAATATGAAAACTGAAACTTCGAAAGCTCCGCTGATCTTTAGAATTTAATTGCATCAATTATTTCACACTACGATTATGTAATTAACCAAATACAACTTAAAGGTTTGCCCTGTCGATAATCAAGGATGTGCTTTATTTATGACCATTTAAAAACTATAACGGAGTACATTTTATGAGTATTAAAATCTGAAATGCATTTGAACTGGAGCAATTCGATTGGAGAACTATGTAATATTTTCTTGATTGAATAATTGTTTTTCGAAATGTTTGAAAATGCTTGGCTTCGCTATTGCTTCTCGAGTGTTGCTCTAAAATTAGAGATTGGAGAAATAACTAGTTATTTAATTACTCTCTAGCTTATAAATACATTTATTTTTAATGGTTTTCAAGTAAATTTGTATGAGTGTAAAAGTGTTGAATAACTAGCGCAAAAGTTATCGACTCTGTTTTATTTCTGTGTTAACAAATTTATTTATTGATGCCCCCACTTATATATTATATTTATACCATTTCTACGAGTATATGTACGAGTATATTACAATATATACTTATATACCAGGCCTTCACACAAAGGCATTTTGTTTATTTAAGATAATTTATATCAATAAATGTTATACATAAGCAGAATAGCGCCTTCATGGATCCCGAGATACTATACGGACCCAAAATCCACCAATAGGATGGATTTGGAATCCACGAACATCTTCCATAATATTCTTCACCGTTTTCGGAGATCGTTCGAACTTGAAATCGAAAATCAGATAGTACATCATAGCCTTGGCTTGCATCAGTGCGTATCGATTACCTGTTACGTAAATTATTACACAACCCACCAATAGATAAATACTTTACTGTTACTTACCAATGCACATCCGTGGGCCTACACCAAAAGGCAAATAAGTGTAAGCCTTTATATTGTCTTTATTTTCATCATTGAAACGTTCGGGATTAAATAAGCTGGGATTTTCAAAGTATCTTTCGTCGTTATGCAATCCCACCACCGGAAACCCCACATAGTCGCCAGCTTTAAATTTAAATACAATATTCCCATCGTCATCTGTAAGATCGTAATCTTTGGAGCACAAGCGATCAATCATGCCTGCAAATGACCATTTGCGTAATGTTTCCGAAGTGACCATGTCCATGTACTTCATTTTCATCACTGCCTCGTAAGTTAAAGGTTTTCCGTTAAGTTCCTCACGTACTTCTTGTGCCTCTTCATATAAACGTTCTTGCACACCAGGATTTTCCATCAGCTCATGACAGATTGCCGCGGTAAAATTGGCATTATTTTCAAAAGCAGCAAAAAAGAAAATGAAGCACTGTGCCACTAGATCATCATCGGACCAATTTTGATCAGACTCTTCCTTGGCTTCGATCAGCAACTGAATCATGTCCGGTCTATGAATTTTGTGTTCTTGCCGATATTTCATTGTGTCTATAACTAAACGTTTAAAGTAATCTGTTTTTTCGGCGTCAAATATTTTAAAACCCAGGATCTGTAATCAATGTTTAATGTTTTTATATTTATTATTAAAACATAGAGAAATAACATATATACTATTTTCATTTGATATTATGTTTCTAAAACCTACTTTTTGTAAAATTGGCATTGTGTTTGATATAAAGAACTTTAGCATTTGTTTGCCGCGAAAATTGACGACGCCTTGGCCGATTGAGTAGAATTGATTATTCTGATCTTCGTACGAATTGACTTTCAAACCAAATGCAGTGGAGGCGATAATATCATTCGACAAGCGTGTGAACCAACCTTTGAGTTCTACATCATGGCTTTTTCCACCCTTAGTTTCTTCTTGTAAGCGACTTAAACTCTCACTGAAACATTCATTCATCAAACTAAACATGGCGCGCATCTTGGCGGCGGTGAATATAGGTGAAAGTGTGTTGCGCATATTTTTCCAACGCTGATCCTTCATCACGGTCAGCATTCCATTAATGAGAGGATCATCTTCGGATTTAAAAAACGGGACATGATTTACAAAGAAGTCAAAGTCCTTCACAGTCATCTTCTTTATATAATCTGGATTCTGGACCACAAAAATTGGCGAACGAAAATTATAAAAACCGGCAATATCACTAAAAATTATAAATTGATATAACTAGTTGGTTAGTAATTCATTTATTTTATTTAGATCATTATATAGCTATAGGCAAGTGGGTAAATTTTTCAATATGTTCGAAAACTACTCAAATGATACATAATTTGCTATAATTTTATGATGTAAATTCAAAGCAATAAGCATGCAGCTAATGCGTTTGATTTCCTATAGGACTTCTAGAAGTAATCGTCTACATAATGATTAGTCAATAAGCAATCGTAAACATTTCGGTTACATTTATGTATTGTACGAGGGTGGCCAGTACGATATTGAAATATGAAATAAGATGTGTTGTAAAACTGCATGGTGAATTTAGGAAATTCAATATGTGAAATATGTAAAAAAGTATATATATGTATATAATGCTTAAATTGGACTGATATAAAATTTTGACTTGAATCATCGATTAAAAACTAATTAATATTTTAATTTTTGTATTTTTTTCATTCAATGAATGTGAACAGTCATTTAATAATACTTATACATAACTACATGTGTGTGTACGTGTGCATTTATAGATTGTTGCATTATCTTGACACTGAAGCAATCTACTCAAAGTGATTACTTATACGTGATAACTTTCATAGCAGAACACCACTGCGCATGAGATGATAAGGTTTTTCAAATTGCAATTAATTTCATTAATTACATATAAATGTATGGATCTATGAATCATTCCTGCATTTAATCTAAATCTGACAATTGATATTTGAACATACATACTACAAACAACTACACAGTGTTTTCGGACAAAATCCTTTATACAATATATACTTTGAGGATAAGTGAATGTATCGTCCTATATAACGCAATGCTGATCACGATTGTCACAAGAAGATATGTGGACAATTGGTTTCTCATACTGGTGGTATATTATTATTATTATTATTATTTATCAGATATGTTATAAAATATTATATCTAACATAGTATGGCGTGCTAGCTACAGCGGCCTTTGACGCCTATCGAATGAGTAAGTTTAATATTATTACAATTGGTTGATCAATCTAAGTTATTCTATGAATAAGTAAATTAAATTAATATTTATAGAGTACATCTGTTTTAAACAATCTGTGGGGTTGGTTTGGTTGAAGTAGCTTGCCCTGATTCTCGCCAAGTTGTCTAAGATGTGTTCGGTTGTTAGAGTGTTACGGCATTTGTATCTTTGCGGAGTTTTGTTGGTGATCAGATGTTCGTGTGTAAGCTTCGTGTGTAAAATAAATAAATTTACTATTTTGGTTTTGGCGTGTTTGTTGGGTATATGACGCCTAGACCATTTACATTGAAAATGGTATATCTGTGATGGAAAATTTTCCAATTAGCTGCCTTTTTTTGTTGTATATATTGGGATATATAGTGTTGGAAAGACTGGGTTATTACTCGGCACCCAGAAAAGAACAATTTTTTTTGTGACAATTATGCTCCGAGTTTGGGCGATTAAGTTGTTATGACAGTTTATGTTTTTCACGGAGAAAATTGTTGATAGACTATCAGAATATACTACGTATTTTCCTGTATTATTACGCACAAACGAGCATGCCTTTAATATGGCTAAAGCCTCGGCTGGAATAATAGTCAGGAAGGAGGCCTCCTGAAATTAAGGTGTTGTTAATGTCGACGACAACGAAGACGGTTGCGATATTGGATTTAGTTGCATCGGTAAGTAACCAGTTCCATGAGCTTAGTTTAAAACTTTCTTTCAAGAATAGTTTGTGATATAGTATATTATTTTGAGTGTTACTTTTTTTATGTATATGAGATTCAAGTTTATAGACTAGTCTTGCAGTAGCCATGGCGAAAAGCTTGGCTTTTATCTTATTAATGTAGGCAACTGTAGGTTTAGTTGTTTAAGCAGTGATGCATTGGCACTCTATCCGTAAATGGAAATACCGTATTCCAACTTTGAGATAATAATGGCTCTGGTTGTATTAATAAGAGTATTTACATGGATTTTTGAAAAATTTCAACATAGAAATTTAGTGATATTTAGCCAAGATTCTAAGTTAGTCCTTAAGGTAATACAATGTTGATTAAAGTTAAATTTATTATTAAATATTATTCCAAGAATTTTTAAATTATCTACGAGTTTTATGTTTATGTTATTTATTAGTGTGTTTTTAACCGTGCAAGGTTGCTTACGGCATATATGTAATATTTTGCATTTATCAATAGATAATAAGGCACACATCGAGTTTCCTCAGTTTTGTATGTCCTGAAGGACGTTGAAAAAGGCTACTTTCCGTGTTAGTATCCTTTATTTTGATATAAATTATTGCATCGTCTGCATAGATATGCATATATGTAGATTAGATTAGATAAGGATAGAGGTATGCACCGCGACCTATGGTGCCCTCATGCATATATGTAAGGTTTTAAAATGATAATGAAATGGATCACTGATAGAGGCGAACCTTGTGGAATGCCGTTAAAAACTGAATAGTGACATGGTTCGAATATTATTTATTTGCAAAAGAACATCCATCGTTTAGTTTTTTCGTTTAAATGTATTGTAGATTGATTGTATGTTGTCACGCTAGAATCTTTTCGTAAAGTTTGCTCATGCGTGGTAGAAGGGAAATGGGTCTAAAGCTAGTTATGTCGTGGATGGGTTTTTGTGGTTTGAGAATGGGAATGATCACCGTTGTGGTCCACGTATGTGTGTGGAGTTTTCGCATTGTGATCGCGAACAGTTATTTGGAGAATGAGGTGGTATATTACAATTTACGCATATACTTGTAGCTTGCTTCTTACAGTCTTTCACCGTATGGCCTAACAGCTGACAATTTTTGTAACGCATTGGGTTTGGGATGCGTTCTCGTACCTACACTGTAATCTAAGAAATGGAAGGTTTGCTAGAGAGTATGTACAGGTCAAAAGTTATAAAAACACCACCGACCTATCTGGTAGGTAGACTGTTCACGATTGTGCTAATTTTTTAAACCAAGGTAACGTGTTGTGCTTTTAGTTCACTGACAATTTCTTCCTCTGGTATTTTGTTGAGGAAGGGTGCGTAAATTGTGCCTTTGATATTATTTAGGTATTCATGTAGTTTAGGCGGAAAGAGTTAAATATTTTGGGTTAAGTGATTGCACGTCGGAACGATCTGGGAATTTAATTTAATTTGATATTGTCGCTTTTTGTTCTTTCGGCTTTCACTTAACAAAGAAAACATGTTTTCTCTTCGGTCGGTTGTTTTTTAGATTAACACACTTATAGAGAATGAAAATGTGATAAAGGAAAAACGTGTGAAGTTAAGTTTAGCGAACTTATCACCGATGACGTCCGTTCGCGCGCAGTATAAGTCGAAGATGGGCGTGATGATATATTGTTTTGCATCTTTATCCACTACGAAGATAATAATTTTTATTATATTCACACCAAATATGCAAAGAGGACATTTCGAAACTTCAAACTTGTTAGATTTTGAATAAATTTGTGTCTCGAGTTTGTGCTTTCTAAAGTAATTGATTATAGTACATAAATTTGATTTGAGCAGTGTCAACAAGCGAAATATATGTATACATGTGCACATTTATTATATAAATATATGAATGTATATAACATGTCTCATCAAATCATGAAAATCTCACATAAATTTCAATTTGTGGCCATAAAATTCACACCACGGCTTTCGTCCAGCTTTATTTAGTACTCGTCTAAGATATCTAGGAGCTTCGCAGTTCAAGAGACTAGATAAAGTATCAACATTAGATATCAAGTCGCTCTTAACGATCGCAAAAAGCGTTGAGCCATTAGCCGGCCAGTATAATCTGACATAACCTGTTTCGAGTTCCCATCGATGGAAAAATTACATTATCTATTATATCATAACTGTCACAATAACAGTTTTCTCTTTTTAAACCGTTTTTTTATGTGAAACAAAGCATTTGTTGATAGAAGGGTCAAACCGTTTCGAATTGCTTTTAAAAATATTAATCGCGCATTTGCGTATCGTGAAGAAAAAAGCCTATTGGGAAAATTTCCTCAATATTCAAAGAATTTAGTATAATGCCATTGAATAAAATAAATATTTCTCCACCCACAGTCAACACTGGCCAAAGTTTCAGGCTGTGTAACAAATTGTGTCGCCAAAAATGGTATATCACATTTGAGTTGGGTTATGTATTCGATAAAGATGGTTTTTATTTTAGCAAAAATTTCTAAATTTCTTGAAAGTCTAGCTCTTTGTTAAACAAAGTAATGTCATGTGTTTAAATATTTCGAATTATTTCATGTTATTCCCTACTTATAGTTAAAAGAACTAGAAAGAACACTAGGCACTAAACGCTTTCTTTGGCTTTTTAGTTTTCATAAAGCACTAAATCTGGTGCTGAAAGCACTAAGTTGGCAGCTATGAAGAGAGTATAGTTCAGTTCTCTTCTTTAGTACCTTCGGTTGAACGGTGGAATAAAATATTACGATTTCAAAATTAAATAAACTAAAGTATATTTAACAACTTACGAGTATGTAGATTTGGTTGTTAATTGTTAGGAGCTATTTTGCTACCTGAAAATCTGACGTGGGTAAAAGGTTTTAAGTGCAATAGGGGCTTAGCTTATTCAAAAATTTAATGTACACACACATTTTCTATGTGTATATACAAGTATGTATATACAAATTACGTGTCACGTTTTTTCCGGGTTTATCTTCTAAGCTACTGAACCGGTTTTAGTAAAATTTAGCATACTTTAGTTAGTTACGATAGTTTATATCTCAATTATATTAAAAGTAGAACAATTAATAAATTATTTCTAAACATAAGCATGTTTTCAAAATTCAAAAAAATTAAATTAAATTTTCAGAAAAATGCCGAAGGAAGAGTCATTATTTTTTCCATTGACAAATATTTGTATGAATCATTTTCAAAATTAAACCTTAAGTACAATGCCTTGAATTCCTATACCGACAATTACGTTTTCGCCTTTATTCGTAAATAATATTTTCACTATATTGAAAATTGATTGTTGATAATGAACAATGCAGTTTTTTCTTGGACGCACTATGTGGAACCGGTTAGACTTCGAGTTCAATCCGGAAATAACGTTTTCGTCCGTATTTGTAAATAATATTTTCATGTACAAGTATTAGGCATTGCCTATTGACCTACCAGACAAACCTATTAAATACATAGTAAGAAGGCGGGTTATAATACTTGTAATAATATTTAATATATACCCCGAATAGCTGTAGAAAGAAAACCGGTGAGGGGGGGATACAGAGTGAGGTCCCCCTGATCCATCAAGTAATGTAATGGAAATTATATTTTATTTATTTTGAGAAAAAATTAGTTTAATTTTACCACGTGTCTACTTATATACATAACAAAGAACAATATTTTTGTAATGTATATAGTTTATCAAATGCATTACACAAACTCCTATTATGACTATTCACCTATGGCTATTCAATATGGTGTCTATTCAATGATCGAGTGTCCTTTCAAGAATGATGACTATGCATACAAACTAGCTTATTTCCACGAAAATGTTTGATTTTCCCTACCCAGTAATACTATATTAATATTTCGCAATATGCTGTAAGTTATTTAAAAAAAAAAGGAATTGTTTATGTGAAAATGAGGGTAATTTTAAGGTTTCAAATTTCTACTCACTGATTTCGGTTGCGTTGATAAAATTTCAACAAGGTCTTATTAAACCCTTCCTTGTTTAATACTACCGCTCCGGCGTTGCCAGTCAGAGGCCAAGGCGCTTCGTAAGGCACTCCACGCTCTTTGAATGTGTTGTATTTGAATGTTGCCCATTTGTAGAAAATATATAGTAGTAACAAGGACACAAGGCCCAATTCGATAAACATCATGCTGATAATACAGGTATCCTTTCTTTTTGAATATTTAGTTTAGATCTCAAACCTAAATTTGATTTCGCAACCATTCACATTGAAAGTTTAAATAATACTAAAACAATATAAAAGCACTTCTGATTGTTAGGAACGGGGAACACCAACAATTACTATCATTTAAATGCAAATAACAGCTTTATGCAATAATGCGACAAATTTCTACCGAAAGCTCATTTCACTAATGAATGAGAACGAACGCAAATTGAGCGACTGAATAGCAAGTAATGGCTGATTCTCGTACAACTTTTGCTTCGCTTTGATTAAGACGTTTCTTTTTTTAAATACGATATATGTTTGTATAATTATATATGAGTTTGATCACATAAAAAATGCTCAAAAATGATCGAAGTGACGCTGAGCGAACCAAATGTTCAACAACTCTCATCTTTTTATGCTTTGGCAAACAGCTGTCGCCATTTTTATACTCACGCAACATGTTGCTACAAAGTATAGTGGTTTTATTCGCCTAACGGTTGCTTGTATCAACTGAAACTATTCGAGATAGACATAGAGTTATTACTATGTAAATAATAAATTGCGCGATTTAAAAGTTTGGCTTGGATGACGAAGAACGTTCTGGGTGGTCAAAAAGTGAAGATTGTTGCCAAACCCAAGAAGAGCTCGCAAAATTGTTGAGAGTCCTCAAGCAGCAACTTCATAACGTTTAAAAGCTGCCGAATACATTCAAAAGCAAGGAAACATCAAGACATGTCAGGAATGCTTACTTACTTTACGGTGTAGAAATCAAAAAGTGGGATGAGGGCATGGCATGTTACGTCTAAAAATTGTCGAAATCGAACCTTAGTGAACTAAATATGTAGAGATTAGTGCCTAAAAATATTGGTAAATTTCTGAGATATTCCATTAAAATTTAGAAAAAATATTTTCTTGATAATAGTGTGCCATTGTGCGAAAAAGAGTAGAATTGGGTAAAAAAAAATATAAAGATTTTCAAATTTCAGGTTGACTTTACGCCTTATACCATATATTGGTCACCCTGATCATTATACTCTTATTGAAAGTAGCGAGCATACTTTTGTGGTAATACTATGTCGTAATGTCAAAAATGGATAAAATCGATAATAGTATTGAAATCCAGCTGGCTATCTGGCCGCCCGCCTGTCCTTGCAAGCGACAACTTGAGAAAAAATTGAGATATCTTGATGAAACTTGGTACATAAGTTCTCTTGCGCGCAGAGAGGGTTGGTATTGCAAATGAGCGGAATAGGACCCACAAAACGCCATTAATCGAAAGCCTATAAAGTGCTATAACGAAACTCCCTGTAATTTGCTGCAGGAGATTACATTGGGGCGGGACATATCTGGTTTGAAATATTTTAAAAAAGGGGGCTTGGCCCCGCGGCCTAATACTTAAGCTAATCAACCAAACTTGCTCACAGCAAATCTTTTTAGTATCCCTTTCGAAAGTGCACAAATTGTTCAAATTGGATGATGTTGAGTAGTTTTCAAAAGTGCGATAACTCATATTATAAAAGCGTCAGAGACACTAAGGACTTTTTTGGTAATGCAGTTAATACTGGAAAACCTTCGCAGTTTGCACTAATAGTTTTGATGATGTTAAAAACTTCGCATTTGAAAATTTCCATACTCTCACTGACGAATTAGATATCAAAATTAATCGATTTCAATTAAATAGGTATCAAAAGAGAAAGAAACAAGTAAGGATGTTCTAAGTTCGAAATGTAACCGAACATTTTATACTCTTGCCCCATTTTTGACACAAAACATACTATTATCGAGAGTTTCATTTATTTATTTTATTATATGATTTTCAATTATATATCTTACATATTGACCGATATTTTCGGTAAAAAGTCAACTATAGACACTGGGGTCCACATATTCAGTACCTAGGGGCTTGAACAGTTTTGGTTCGATTTAGAGAATTTTTGGTCACAAGGTGGAACACTATAACGCAATATTCACGCAAAGTTTTACCCCGATACAATCATTGTTGCTTGATTTACACAGTGGAAAGTGGAAGAATCAGATGATTGTAATCCGATTTCGCCCATTTTCGCACTATAAAATAGAAATATGAGAAGAATGTTAGGTACCGAAGTTGGTTTAAATCGGTTAAGCAAATCCTAAGATATGGGTTTTCACGGTAAAATTTAATGTCTCTGGCGTGTTTAGTGCTTGATTTATCGCGCTTTTAGTAGTTTTTAACCGTTATATTGGGAGTAAGCCGAATTCACCCATTTTCACATCACATAATTTGTTCACAGTGAATTTTGTTATAATAGCTTGAGCGGCTTAGGAGATATGTACATTAAACCTGTTATGGGGCGAACCACGCCCGTCTTTTATTTTGGAGCTTAGTTATGGCAATTTATTTGTTTTTGATTGATGCCGTTGTGTGAGCGTGGCAGTGGTCCGATTACGCACATCTGCAATACCAACCGTCTTACGGTACCAAGAAACATGTGTTTCATAAAGATATCTCAATTTTTACTCAAGTTACAGCTTGCACGGACGGACGGACGGACGGACAGACAGGCAGACTCGCCTCTTCATCCTGATAAGTTACTTGTATATATGTATGTATACATAACCATATATCTAACTCGATTAGTTTTAGGTGATACAAACAACCGTTAGGTGAACAAAGCTATTATACTCTTTAGCTACAGGTTGCGAGAGTATAAAAAAACGGCATTTATTAATTGCGAATAGCTTAAGGTTAAACGGATTGCTCTTGACGCAATCTCTTTCTATTATGATGCACAAATATAATAAAGCGATAAAATTAAAATTGCATTTAACATAAATCACTTACAATGACATTTTAGCTTGCACAGTTGGTTTTGGTGTAAGTTTTTGTGCTAATATTCAAATTTTGCAAGTTTTGCGCGTTTTTGCGCACAGCTACGACAATGATACTACTGGTTGCATCATACACGCAGCTAGCATTACCGAAAACTATTTGATGCATTGCATTATCCTAAAAATCCTATCTTACAGTGCGAAAATGGGCGAAATCGGACTACAACCACGTCAATATACCGAACACCGAAAGCGAATATGAGGACCCCAGTTCCAATTGCAAACTTTATATTGAAAATATCGTTCAATCTGAAAGTATATTATTGAAATTCTGAAAAATTACAAGATGAAAATATCAAAACACGAAATATGGGTGTACATATAACTGAGAATAACCGAAAACAAAGCATATGAACTGTCAAGCAAGGTGACGAAAGTTTCGGCGGGAATCTATTGAAATGTTTGCAAACATAGTTTGCTAATGATTCCAGCATTCTCAGTAGAATGCCAAAAATTAACCAGAAAGTCGTCCTCGTTTGCGGTATAAAATAACTAGGGGAAAGTATGGGTAGTATTTTTTCTTGTTATTCTTTGAATTTTATGGATGTTGTACTATATAAGTAAAACGAATTTATTTATTTTAACATTTTAATTGCTGTCTAGAGCTCTTTCTGTAAACTCGCAGGAACCTCAACTTAATAAAACTTTGTCGGCTTCGCTTCCATCACGTGAAATTCCACTTACTCAAAGCCTTGTAGATGCTATTTTTACTGTTGCGACATAATAATAAATTACCGGACCAAGCTACGTACATATATTTAAGATAACTCTTCGCTGTTTAAATGAGACGGTTTCTATTGCTGCTGCAACTGATTTGCTTATAGCGACTTTCTCCCTGATTTTAACTCCCTCGCTTAGTAGAATTCCAGGATGGATATGTTCACAACTTGTCTTCTTATGACACTCAGTTGTAGATGTCTGATGTACTGCAGATTTTGCTGATTTAAGTAGTGCATATACAGTGTGTTTAGTTTATCCATATGTTGAGATAGCTTAACACCTGTCGCGTTGCCATTATAAAAGTTAGTGTCGTATATCTACAGTCTTTGACGATTATAAGAAAAGTTATGTTGTTTTAAGCGTAGGTATAGGGTTATTTATTAAGGAATACATTACATTATTACAATGTAGAACTTTTACCCAGCTACTGACATGATATCGGCTCCTATTAGGTTAGTGAGGAGTGGAAAATGTGGAAAATTAAACACCACAATGCGCCACCTGTTAAAATTGATATTAAGAGCTCAAATTTTACCAAAGCTTTTTTGTCCTTCGAGCCAGCGATTTTTAGTTGAAGTTTAAATTTTAGGAATTAATAAAATTTCTTTGTCAGTTTTTGAGATATCCGAATGAAATTAAATACATAGGTGCATTTTGATATTCTATTGCTCATTACCCTGTTTAGAGTATAATTATAGTATAAAATGTTCGGTTACATCCTCCATTTAGCCCTTCCTTACTTGTTTTTATATGTCTACATAAAAGTATCGTCGTAATGTGATTTTAATATTCACAGGGACTACAAAGATGTGCAGCTAGAAATACAAATGGATTACATAAGAGACCAGTTGGAACGCAAGAGCTACAAGTAAGTATTGAATACCATATACAAATAAGCAACAAAAACTGCCAACAAGGTTGCGATCAAAAATACATGCCGAAGGAATAAAATCACGACTATGATTAATTTTCAAAATTTTTCCAATTTCATCGCTTATCAAACTTAGAAGAATTACCGCGATTAAGATTCTCAAAGCCCGCAGAGCCAAAACCAATAAATGACTTCATAGAATTTAATCCATCTGGTAAGTTAGTTAGCAATTAGTTTTAATATTGACCAATTATTTGTTGAAATTAGCAAAGAATGTTAATAAATAAATATTAATAAAATTCATTAATTCTCTGAAAACAGTACCTGTACGAAGCATACATTAAGGAGCAACAAGTCCAATGAATTAATACCTAAGTATAGAAAGGATTAGTTGAAAAATATATCCAATATGTAATCAGCCGCAATGACGCTCAGTGGGAGAAACAGATGAAATAAAAACTTCAGCAAATATGACAATTATACCTTCACAAAAATTGGAATAAGAATAATTTTTGTTGAAACGTAAATTTTTACATTTTACATAAGTATCAAACTGCTCTACTTAATATTTGGCTCGTTTCGACCTATTCTAAGCCATTTTCACGTATTTGAATACAACTCGATATTACCGCCTTCAAAATATACTGCTTTTGAGCGAATGCAAGCATGTCAACGTTAATCCAATTTTCAATACACTTGTTATAAGTCTCGGCTGGGATGGCCATCAGTGCTGTCAGTGAATTTAGGGGTTTTCGGTTCCGGCTCATTTTTGGAACGTCATTAGCTAGATTGTTGGATATTTTCGCCGACATGTTTACAGACCCACCTCTAGTCACCAGTAATGATGTGATTGATGTAGGGTTCTCAGCCACATTGTCAAGCGACCTCTACTTTACGTCGTTTTTTTCAAAAGATTCAGGTCTCTTGGTACGATCTAGCATTGACACGCTTCATACCTATAATATTAACCAAAATGGTTGAGTCGATCCATAAGAGATGTTGAGATTCTCTGCTATCTCTCTGTCATGATTAACAGAGGTGGATGGACGACTCGCATTAGGTAAGTGTTCGATGACTTCACGACTTTGAATGCTTTGTAATACATAACTATTTGTGTTCGTGATAAAGAAGACTCTCTAAAATACTTCAGCAACATTTTTAACGGTTCCGTGGCCGTGATTCCATTGAAAACACAAAATTTCAAATAAACTCGTTGTTCAATTTTTTTACATATGGAGATCAAACTTCACACGAACATAAAAAAAGTCTGGGAAAACGTTTATAGTCTGAAAAGTTTTCCCTTAAGTCTTTATTTCAAATAAGGCTGATTATATCTTAAACTTTAGTTCATCTTTTTTAGAAGCTTTTGACAGCATCACAATGAATGGGTTGTTGAAATGAATAGCCAAGTCTTCGATAGTGTTTTTACGAGATTTTTGGAGTGTTATTTCAAATTTGAAGATCTTTGTTTTTGGCTTCGAGAGGTTTTTCTGACAGCTTACCAATCGGAAGTGTTTCTGCAGCATGTTTTAGAATTTTATGGACAGATGTAGGCAAATAAAACCATGGATAGCACTTCGCTTGCCAGAGTTATAGAAACTAGTATTGGCCGCAGATAAAAGAACATCGCATGGAATTTCTCTTACGATATGCGTACATTTTTTTGTGTGTTTTTTCTTGACAATTTGTAAAGTTATGTTTGGGTCGTCCAACAAGTGAGTTTTTTTCTTGTTTCTTACTTTTCTCAACATTCCACGCCAATTTTTCGAAAAAATTTTTTATTTCCTTAGATATATTAGCGCTCACTTTATCAATAATATTGCTGACCGCTGACATCATAAGCCAACATCGTCATACTTGTACATACAGTGGCACGAATTTGAAAAAAAAATCAAATCAATCAAATCAGTAATCGAATTTTTTCTTCACAGTAAGTATGTATAGTATACCCATACGCACTTTGCATTTGTGTTTCTTTCTTCATTTTATAGTTTATATATTTACTTTTTTAAGCTCTTTCGAGAATAAAAAAACACACATATACTTAACAGACTATTGCAACCAACTAATTTGGTACAAGTTTGTCATTGAACATTTGATTTAAAAGTTGTCGCAAGCTTTTCTCTTTGAACGTTGCTGTAGACTTATACCTCCACCGCCAAAAAGTTTTTTGAAAACTTGAACACTGACATTTGTTAAAAAAATTAAATCAAATATAATATGCGGAAATATGCGGCTCAATTTGGACAATTTTGTGGCGAAAAAAAACATGACTAATTTAAAAAAAAAACCATTGATAGCAAACACGGTCGAACCTCAAAAGTTCAGCTCTACGAAAAATGAGTTTATTATTGTAGTAAACATACATATATGTATTTATAAAGTCAATTGCTGTTGGAAGTATACAGCGCTAATAGTCACTCAATTTCTTGCGTATCAGGTATGAGAACGCAGTTTAGCATAAATCCAGTATTCTTTAATAGCAATAATATGAGTTGGTTGCTCTCTTTAAAGCGATAATTATAATGTTTCTCATAATGCAAAAGTTGTCATTTTCAAAATGATATGAGAGTAAATATTATTCGATTTTGCCTCCATTCCCAGTATACTTGATGTTCTAGTACAGTTTTGTTAATGAGTTTATTATTGTAGTAAACATAACATAACACTACAATTAATACTGAATTTTACTTAATTTGTTAACAACAACAACATACTTTTTTCTTTACTTAGAGGAACAAATAAAAATGCGTACCATAAACGAAAGTTATAGGCAAATTTCAGCGGTTAGCAGCAGCTGACAGAACATTTGTGTATTTGAAGATTTGCAACTATGTATTCGCATATTGAGAGAATAGCGAAACGAAAAGTTTTCTTTGTCAAATCGGATTACAAAACGGTAATGGCGCCAAGAACAAAGCGGAAATTTTAGCTAATTGCTCCTATATCAGCCGTTGCTCCCATTGTGCGACGGTATGTTTGCATATTTGAAGGTGGCCGTAGTTGTCGTCTCATTTCTTGTTTACAGCTAAGAGATGTAATTTTTAACGAACCGAAGTTATTTTTTTATTATTGTGGTGCGAATACAGAGAACATTATTGTAGACGATTTTATTATTTTATCATATAGGTTTCTATCTGGCTACGGTCCTTCCGATATAAAAACAGAACAGAGTATAACTACAAAGCGGGCTTATCGGGACTCACCAACATTTAAATCAGGATCAGGATAATATATTTAAAAACAATTTATTCTTTATAAGTTTTTATATATATTTCTATCATCTATACATAGTTATGAATGTGATCCCATCACCAAATAAGAAATACTATATTTTCCATCTTTCCAGGTGACATAATGGATGACATAATTTTTCAGAGCTCTAATCAAAATTCCGTATATGTGTTAAATTCTAATTATCGATATTATGGGGTAAGGTAAAAAATAAGTTACTTAACATATATGCGCACAAGTTCATATCATAATATTCCTATCACATTTTCATCTTCTCAAACTCATGCATTTTCCTAGGCAGAAAATAATTTCACTTATAACCTTTGTTACGTTTTCGCTTTCTTAGAACTTCGCCCGCCTAAATGTGATCGAACCTAATGACGCGATCAGTAAAAATCAGTCACATTGTCAACACGCATCGCTTACGAATTCTGGCAATCACAGTTTTTCTACGACTACTCTGCCAATGCAGTATAAACTACGTCATTTTGGAAAGTTTTGTGATGTTCCGGAAGCAATCGAAAATTCTGTAACGACAGCACCTACTACAACAATAAACCCGCCTGCAACGACATGCTTGGCATCTACAGATGTACTTCAAAAATTCTTCAATTGCAATTTCGTAGCAAATGTCGGTGGCTGCGACAGTCTTCATTCAATACATGCCGATTGCTGTAGCGGAGGAGCAGCTGGTGCCTGCACAGATACAAACCCGATGCAAAATACTTGCAAAATCAAACCCAATAACAACAATAAGAAAAAGAATATTAACTTAAAACCTTCCCTAATCGCAAAGAAAACGAAATTCCGAAAATTCATTGAAGAAGAAAAATGGAAGACCAGCGATGAATGCATTTTGGAAAACGAATACCAGAATAAGTGAGTTTGCTATTGCGTATGTACTTATATCCACGAATTACTCCAATATCAGTAATAATCAAATATGATATTCTAATACTGAATTGATTGCGAAAAGTTTCCTAATGGACCTAATTCGTCTCACCTTCATTAACAAGAGAAAATATTTCAATACCCTTCAATTGCCATTACTATATATTTATTATAACATCTTTCAAAAATATATAAAATTCTCATGTAACGGTGTTTGTTGTCAAACTTCTCCATAACGGCTGGACCGATTTTGATCAAATTTGGTATGCTTATTGGGTAGGTCTCAGGATCGGCCAACATCTATTTTTCATACCCATAAACGTTAAGGTTGGTCGAAGCCAAAAAAAGTTTTTATACTCTCGCAACCTGTTGCTACAGAGTATAATAGTCTTGTTCACTTAACGGTTGTTTGTATCACCTAAAACTAATCGAGTTAGATATATGGTTATGTATACATACATATATACAAGTAACTTATCAGGATGAAGAGACGAGTCTGCCTGTCTGTCCGTCCGTCCGTCCGTCCGTCCGTCCGTGCAAGCTGTAACTTGAGTAAAAATTGAGATATCTTTATGAAACACATGTTTCTTGGTACCGTAAGACGGTTGGTATTGCAGATGTGCGTAATCGGACCACTGCCACGCCCACAAAACGCCATTAATCAAAAACAAATAAATTGTCATAACTAAGCTCCGCAATAAAATACCAGACTGTTATTTGGAGCACAGGATCACATTAGGGGGGGCATCTGCAATTAAAATTTTTTTTTTAGTGGGCGTGGTCCCGCCTCTAATAGGTTTAATGTGTATATCTCCTAAACCCCTAATGCTATAATAACAAAATTCACTGGAAGCAAATGTTTTTAGCACTTCTATTGACGGTGTGAAAATAGTTGAAATCGGGTGGCAACTCCGCCCACTCCCCATATAACGGTACTGTTAAAAACTACTAAAAGCGTGACAAATCAAGCACTAAACACGCCAGAGACATTAAATTTTATCTCTGAGATGACTTTATAGGAACCGCGTTCAAAATTAGACAGTGGGCGTGGCAAAGCCCACTTTTAGGTGAAAAGCCATACCTTGAGATCTGCTTAACCAACCGGACTACAGCCACGCCTATTTCCCATATAACACCATTTTCAATTCCATCTGATTCTTTCACTTTCCACTATGCAACAATGATTATATCGAGGTAAAACTTTGCTTGAATAATACGTTTAAAGTATGCCACCTTGTGACCAAAATTTGTCTAAATCGAACCAAAACTGTTCAAGCCCCTAAGTACTAGATATGTGGACCCCAGTGCCTATAGTTGACCTTCTACCGAAAATATCAGCCAATCCACAAAGAAATCTCAAACGAGTATACCATTTGACCCTACGAAAGTATAAAATGTTCGGTTACATCCGAACTTAGCCCTTCCTTACTTGTTTTTATATACGGTTTTTTTTATTGATTTTTCAAAAGATGATAACTTTGTGTACATTTGTAGGATTGAAGTCAAATATGCGCCGCTTTGTTCGTAAACTTGTTGCCAACGAGATGCCAACTTCATTATACCCCTGTCGTGAAGGCTGCGTCCCTATTGGCAAAAAACTCGGAGAGACAATTTTCATAGGCCTCTCTTGAGGCCAACTTCTCACCATTAGGCGCGTTCGCCATGGACAGGAAAAGATGGGAATCACTTCCGAGCTCCCGGAGCTTCTGGCGCGTCACCAAAGACGTGTGTGGAGTGGCGTTGTCCTGATGGAATACAATTCGGCCTCTGTTGATCAAAGATGGCTCTTCTGGATGAGTGCTGCCTTCAAGCGGTCCAGTTGTTGGCAGTAGAGGGCCGAATTGAGCGTTTGGCCATAGGGGAGTAGCTCGTAGTAGATGATTCCTTGCCAATCCCACCAAACACACAGCAAAACCTTCCTGGCCGTCAATCCGTTCTTGGCCACCGTCTGGGCCGCTTCCCCGAGCTTTGACCACTACCGTTTGCGCTCGATGTTGTCGTAAGTGACCCATTTTTCATCGCCATTCACAATCCGCTTCAGAAACGGGTCGATTTTGTTGCGATTCAGCAGCGATTCGCAGATGGAAATTCGGTCCATCATGTTTTTTTGCGTTAGTTCGTGTGGCACCCAAACATCGAGCTTCTTTTTTAATCCAAGGTTATGCAAATGGTTCCAAACGGTTTTTTGGCTTATCTTTAGTTCCTCAACAATTAAATGAGTGCTCACGTGACGGTCTGTTTCCACTATTTCCATGATTTTATCGCTAATTTCGACGATGGTCGTGGTGCATCTTTGACATCGAAATTACCGGAACGGAACCTAGAAAACCACTTTTGTGCAACACGTTCGTTTACAGTATTGGGCCCATAAACTAAATTAATTTTTTCTGCCGCTTTGGCTGCTTTTTCGCCTTGATCGAAGAAAAATTGTAAAATATAGCGAATTTTCTCTTTGCTGGTGTCCATCTTTGACGAGCGCTCACAACGTACTGAGTCAAGCAATCGAAAAACTGTCAAAGACAAACTTCGAGCGCGAATAAACACATTTTCGGCGCCGTATAGTATGACATGATGCGACACGCAACTCTAGTACTATGGATAATAACGCCATCTCTTAGATAAAAACCTTTTTACTTGACCTTATATATTTAACTATACTACCATAAGCCTCCATTCCATGCATTCCAAAAACTATAAATTTTCACTTATTATTATTTCCCTTTTAATTCATTTCATACCAGCCACAATGTTCGTGTCGATTTTCCCGGTTCCAGTAGACTCACTGAATTTCGTACCAACTCAAGTGTGAAGGAATCAAATACCGCTGAGTCAACTACACTAACCGCTTCAATGGCCGCAATGACAACTTGTGAGCCGTTGAACAACAGCGTCAAGCATTACTGGAATAGAAAAATGAAGACGAATACAGCGGACAGCGGGAGAAAGAAATACCAGCAGCAGAACCAATCGAACAATTGGAGCGGAAGTGGCGAGAGCAACAATCAACAGCAGCAAGCCCAACAACAACTGAAGGTGTTGAAGTCAACCCAGCAACAAAAAACCAATTATGAGCTTTACAAGGATGCCGCCGATTTGCTTGGATTGCCTTGCACACTTTGTGATAACTGCCGTTGCCTCGAATGCCAGGTAAGTCACAGTAGAACATTAGACATGAAGTACTAATATACAAGTACCTCTGTGCTTAGAAGAATACAAAATAAATTTACTTAATTTTTGTCATAGAATATATACGTTAATAGTCAATCAATTTCTTGCGTATCAGGTATGAGAACGCAGTTTAGCATAAATCCAGCATTCTTTAATAGCAATGATATGAGTTGGGTGATAATAAAATACCAAGGCATCTCACTTATTGCCGAGATGCTCTCTTTAAAGCGATAACTATAATGTCTCTCATAATGCAAAAGTTTCCTTTTCAAAGTGAAGTGCTGATAGAATTTAAAATGCTATTATATCGGATATAAGATTAACTATTATTCGATTTTGCCTCCATTCCCAGCACACTTGATGTTCTAGTAAAGTTTTGTTAAAAATTTGTTCAAGGTTTGTTAAGTTGTAAACATACGGTCACGTTTTTTGAATTAGTTTTAAAAACTGCTGATTAATTTAGATAAGAAGTTAGATAGTTTGTGGAATATACACATACTTATGATCAAATTTAATTATATAATATTACCTCTTAACATAGCAATGTTTTCACAAGTTTCAACTGTGAAGCATTTTATTTTTACTACAAGAAATAGGCTTGATTTATTTGTCATACCATTTTAATATAATTCAGTATACTGTACACTATTCTTTACCAAAATAAAAACAAAAACAAAAAACTTCGGCTGCACGAAAGCTAGATTACCCTTCATAAATAAAGAAATTTCCATACAAGAACTTAATTTTGATCGGTCAGTTTGCATGGCAGCTATATGAAATAGTGGTCCGGTCTGGATATTATAATATGTTCGGAGATTATAACGATGATTTAGACAAAAATTTTGGCGGTTCCGACAAATGACTAGATTCTTAGAGAGAAAAAAATGTGTGCAAAATTTCGGATGGATATCTCAAAAACTAAAAAAATATATTTTATTGTTTTGGTGACATTTAAACTAAGTATATTTAATCTTTGTGTGATCCGAAAAATATTGAATTTATATTATACATTTCATTTATAGAGCAGCTACTTCGATTGTGATGACTCGGACAGCTTCTCAGAAGTATCTAACTCCGATGAGTACGATGACGATACCATGAACGTATTTAACAATTCGTTTGAGCTCTTGATGTATGCTAATTGCTACAGTGATGATACGATGACAGTCAATGGAATATCGACAATAAAGCAACGACAACGGCAAAAAGTGGTTCGTTGTTCCCAAGAGCAACGACAGCCTAATTTCACTTGCGCTGATGTAAATTGCAATGCAAGAGAATTCTGTGGTGTTGACCGAGATAGTTACAATATGGCTGTCAACGGCGGCGAAGAAGCTGCCAATGGCACTGAAGGAACATACGTCATCAATCAAAATGGACTGCACTCGGTACAGTGCAATGAAGGCAATGAACTGGAAAATTGTACAAGTTTAAATGGGCTTAGTTTGAGGGATGCCAATATAGATATGCCGCTAAGCACTGGAAGCGAAAACCGAGGATAGAAGCACGTTTGTGGACACGTTGGAGAGGTAAGGGAGAATATAATTTTAGAGGTAAGGGAGAATATAATTTTAGAGTTAAGTAAATTTCTTTCTGATTAGATTAAGGCAGGAGGTTTATCTTTTAATTTAAGTGAGAAAGTTATATTTGACGATATTGGTCATATATGGTATTTGATGAAAATTAAACTAATTAAAAAATTAAATTTAACTTTTACATATCGAAAATAACATAACATAACCAAAGATAAATTAACCTCATTAAATGATAAGTACATGTTTTTCTAAGAACGAATCCTGTATAATTTTAGCAAATTAGCCCTTCTTCTTTATATATTAGTGGTATTCAAACCAGTTTTGTTAATTCGTTAGTCGTTATTCGATAGTTTTTTACGTGAATTTTTTTGTTTAAAATTACCATATTATCGTTTTTCGTTACTTGGTAATATCGAATCAGCTGCAATATTAAAACCCTTTTGACAAATTGTTAATTTAAAGCTATCGACACTACCTTATGTACATACATATATGTATAACTGAATCATGGATAAAAGGATAAAATTTTTATTTATTCTCTGGAATAAAAATACAAATGAATCCTAATGATTTTTAAATAAATAAAATAAGGGGATGACGAGGAAAAACAAAGGGATCGTACCGCTCGTGCTCGGATACTTATAATTGTCAGCTGTTACGCAATTTGGCATTCCTTTTCATTTTGAAATCCCTTTCGTGGTTGCAATAGCGGTCAGATTCAAATGAATATTTACAACATGTTCGTAAATTTGAATTTTATTTTCTACTAGTTTAAACCTATGCCTCCGCCGGAAGTTGAGAATGACATGATATCTGTATTGCTTTTTTAACAAAGAACAGAAGCGAGTAAAGATATGACCAATCGAAGACAGCTAATATAATGGAATAATTAATTTGGCAATCTACCTTTTTTACTGACTTCGCAAACCGTTTAAGGGATAGTACATACACAGTGGCGTAGCAAAGGGGGTGACACTCACCCGGTCTCTCAAAAATAAATCGCACACAAAAATTTCTTTTTCGGGGATTCCTCCACTAGCACTATCTCAGCTCTATGTATACGGTTACTGTTTGGGTGTCTCTAGATTTTTTTAAGTTTATTGTAGAACGGGATTTTACAGAATCTCTTCCAAATTTATGATTGCACTGAAATTGTTCATAACGGTTTGCGTGTCCGTAGCTTCATGTGAGAGGAGTCTCAGTAAATTAAAATTAATAAAAAACTTTTTGCGGGCAACAATGACCCAATCGCGGCTTAGCAATCTTGGTACAAGTATATTAGCCATGAAATACGAGGCAATACAAAATAAAAATTTCGATGAAGTTGTTATTGTGTTTTGTTATTTCTTCAATATTATAAATAATAAATGGTCCATGTCCCTATATAACATTTATTGATTTTTACTTTCCTTGGGGTGACACCACCAACTTCCACGCCACCCAAGGTAGTTATGCCACTGTACACATAGTCAATAAAGTTTGCGTTCACCCTACACATTTTTTTAATTGAAGTAAAAACCCAATGTTAATAGGTAATTCAATTCAAAGTTCCAAGAATGTATATTCTTATTTTCGTTTTTCATATAACGGGGTTTTAGTGTAACAACAACTAAATATAGGCACCAGGAAGTCTGCGTTCAGTTTGCTTGAATTGGAATTGCTTTAGTATTTTTTATTTTGGAAATACCGTTACTTTTCATGAATATTTTCCTTCAGACTTTATTAAATTATTAAATAGCACGTAAAATATGAGTGTGTTTGAGCTGGTTAATAATTATCGTAATACCATGTTCCGACCAACACTTAATCACGAGGTTAAAGTTATTGAGTAGATTATCTCAAGATATCAAGATTTCGCTAAATAAAAATGATACTTGTTAATCTCGTCACCGAGGAGGATTTGTGGATTGACTGATATTTTCGGTAGAAGGTCAACTATAGGCACTGGGGTCCACATATTTAGTACTTAGGGGCTTGAACAGTTTTGGTTCGATTTAGACAATTTTTGGTCACTAGGTGGCACACTCTAAACGCATTATTCACGCAAAGTTTTACCCCGGTACAATCATTGTTGCTTGATTTGTTTAGTGGAAAGTGAAAGAATCAAGTGGAATTTAAAACGGTGTCATATAGAAAATAGGCGTGGTTGTAATCCGATTTCGCCCATTTTCGCGCCTTAACATAGAAATATAAAAAGAATATTATGTATCAATTATGCTTTTATTATTTTTTAACATTACCGTTATATGAGGAGTGGGAGGGTTTGTCACCCGATTTCACCCATTTTCACACTGTCAATAGAGGTGCTAAAAACATTTGCTCCCAGTGAATTTTATTTATTATAGCTTTAGCGGTTTAGGAGATATGCACATTAAACTTATTAGGGGAGGGACCACGCCCATTTAAAAACAAAAATTTAACTGCAGATGCTCCTCCCTAATGTGATCCTGTGTACCAAGTAACAGTCTTGTATCTTATTGCGAAGCTTAGTTATGGCAATTTATTTGTTTTTGATTAATGGCGTTTTGTGGGCGTGGCAGTGGTCCGATTACACCCATCTGCAATACCAACCGTCTCACGGAACCAAGAAACATGTCTACCAAGTTTCATAAAGATATCTCAATTTTTACTCAAGTTAGAGCTTGCACGGACGGACGGACAGACAGTCACCCGGATTTTAACTCGTCTCTTCATCCTGATCATTTATATATAACCCTATATCTAACTCGATTAGTTTTAGGTGATACAAACAACCGTTAGGTGAACAAAACTATTATACTCTGTAGCAACGGGTTGCGAGAGTATAAAAAGGGAAATTAGTAATGTAGAGTGAGGCTGCCAAAGCCGATCTAATAGAGTTGTGGCGCGAAAAAATTACACAGCTTCGTTAAAAACAGCTGTTTTATAAATCTCCAACGGCAGTAAAAACAGTCTAGATTAGTAAATAGATTAAATGTTATCTAATAATTTCAAATGTTTGGAGAGAAGATGGTATAATACTGCAATCCTGTTACTAACTTCGTACTTTGTTGCTGATACTCTGCTGTAATGCACTAATTATTTCGCGCGGAACTTAGAAATATGATAGATAGAAATGTGTATGAAAATTTTAACGTATATAATTGCAGACGAAATGTTAGAAAAGGAAGGTCACAATTTGATAAATAAAGACAAAAGAAGATTTTTATTTAAAGAATACTGCAAAAAAATTAGAGTCATAAAAGTAATATTGAATTACTCTTAATTTTACACTAAAAACAAATAACAAATTATATCGAACATAAAATTTATATTTATTACAAAATTCACCTACAATTCCTCCTTCATTTAAGCGCACATTCAAAATTTTTACGCTAGTGATGGGCAACAGATTTATAACAAAAGAGTGTGTGACGATGGCAGTGTTGGCAGATGGTAGCAGAAGGTAGCAGGTAGAAGCAGTGGTGCAAAAAGTATGAACGTTCCAAATGAATTCCTGCGACGGTCAGTGACTGCCCTTGTGCCTTGTTAATTGTCATTACAAAAGCTAGGGGAACCGAAAACTGAAGTTTTTTGAATTTAAAAGTTATGTCGGAAGGCATGAGAGGAATGCGAGGTATGAAGATATCTTCATCTGCCAATATGCCAAACAAAATCGTGCTTCAATAATATTAGAATGAAAATGTTTGACGATCAGTTGAGTTCCATTGCACAATTTAGGTGTTCTCAAATTTCTAAACATCATTATTGTGATCCAAATTTCAGAAATAATTAATGAGACGGCATTCCTGATGGTTCCAGCGAATTCAGAAGCACTACAGGGTAGTTGACAGCTTATTTTTGATCAATAACGGTATTTCTCGAGAGGCACGTGTTCATAACAGAAGCTTGTCCGGACTTTTTCCGAATTTCTGAAAGATTAAGAGGTGATTTAAGCGCTGAGTGAAAAATCCTACCGCCAGCTAATAAAGTAGCTGCGATACCTGATGACGCTACAGCAAGCGCAAGTCTGCCTTTTTTTTACTTCTGTAAGTGTAAAATTGATGAGAAGAAGTTTTGCCTGTTCTTTCGGTTGCGTTAAGAAAAAAAAATACCTCCCTCATTGCAACTTATTCTACCAAGTATGCGTTGCGTTGTCTTCTATGTCGATCTAGGCTTTGTTGTAAATAATATAAGGCGGCTGTAAATCAGCTTTGTTGGAAGCTCTACGAAAATGTAGCAGATAATCTTCACTCAAAAGTCGCATGCATTTCTCACAAAACCTTAGGATCTGACGGAAAACAGGTTGTAAATATTATTGCACACAGAAGACGCATTTGGGGGGGGCATTCTTCTAAAAATGCTATATCCCAATGTTGATCATATATAGGTATGTTGAGCAGATCTCGCCTCCAACAGTTCTCAACCCTTCAAATGATATTGATTTTTTCACGACATGCAGAAGCATTCATAAGTGAAAACATTCAGCGTTGGAAGGGTATACTGTGTACATGTGTAGGTCAAGAGCATCACTTTTTCTTGTCGTTGTACCAGGTACTTCAGCATCTTGTTTTCTTTGATAGTATTGTTTTTTTTTTTGATGCTTTCCACATGTAGTACTGCTAAACTTCTGGATACAACCACGTCTTAGCCAACTGATCTTCTGCACATAATTAAAAAAAATAACTGTAAGGGTGATATTTGGCTGGTTAGCTGCTAATTGTGCCACATTCTGAGCTGTAAATGTAATGCTTTGTCCGTTTTCCAGGTGCACGGCGAAATTCTTCGAACTGCTTCATTACTGGATATGTACCATCCCATTTGATATGAACTTATTTCATCATTTTCGTTAGTGACACCGAAAATTGCTCCCTAAGTTGATGTATTTGCAAATATATTTTACCGATTTCACAGAGTTGCAATATCAACGTTAATATGAGCCTAAAAAGTTTTCGAAAGCAGAGGAGTGTGTGGTTTAACCCATCTGTTGTCAACCTGCACTTTCCTGTGTCCTCCGTCTTCAGATCTGTTTCTTT